AGAGAGAGAGAGAGAGAGAGAGAGAGAGAGAGAGAGAGAGAGAGAGAACAAGAACAAGAAGAACAAGAACAAGAAGAAAAGAGAGAGAGAGAAAGAGAGGAGAGAGGAGATAGGAGAAGAGGGGGGAAGAAGGAGAGAGAAGAGAAGAAAGGAGAAAGGGAAGGGTCCCTGCTCTCAAGACCTTTATATCCTACTGAATGATGGGTCATTGGTCCTTTGTTGACAACCAGTTTAGCAATTCCCTGGAGCCTCACTACAAACTGACTTTTAAAACATTTCTTTTCACAAGCAATCATTCTCTCCCCCTCCCACAGCTCCCCTTCCCCCATCTGAGCAACAACAGTAACAGCATTTCTATAGGGCTTTAAGGTTTGCTAAGCACTTTCCAAATACTGTCTCATTTGATCCTCACAACTACTCTGGGAGGCAGGTGCTATTCTTATCCCCATTTTTTACAAATGAGAAAATAGAGACAGACAGAGGTGAAGTGACTTGCCCAGGGTCACATAGCTAGTCCTGTGTCCCTGGCAGGATTTGAACTCAGGTTTTCCTGACTCCAAGTCTAGTGCTCTATCTACTGAGACACCTAGCTACCTATAGAAAAAGAAAAAAAAAAAGAGAGAGAACGTTTATAACAAACATGCATAATCCATAAAATTGCTATGTTGGCCATGTCCAAAAATGTATGTCTCCTTCATTTAAGGTCCATCATCCCTGTGGCAGGAGGTAGGCAACGTGTCTCATCTTCAGACTCGTAATACACACATACTTTCCTAAAGAGTTCCAAGGAATTTTTGTACTTTTAAAAAAAAAATCATCTCCCAGCCTCACCTTAGCCTAATGAGCTAGGTTTCGCTCCAGCTATTATAATCCCCATTTGACACATGTGAAAATGGATGCTCAGAGTGATGCATTAACTTTGTGCCAAAGTGCCCAGGAGTCAGGCGAAGGGATGGAATTCAAGACTCTCTATGGACTATTGGCCTGACACTCTATGTACCACCCCACTCATAGACCTGTGATCCCATCTCTGTGGGTAGCCAGACTCAGGCGGCTGAGCTCTGATCAGCCCCTCTTATCCATTCACCAAGTTAGCACTGCCATGTGCCTCTCCACAGAACAGTCTTTCTTAGGCCAGTAGACATAGGTATCTCAAACACTGAACCAGAATGCATCATCTCTCTCCCCAGACCCGTCATTTCTAGGTTCCCAGATGGGACATCTTGGTTTTGTCCTAAGACTCCTCACTCATTACCTCCCAAAGAGGCTGTTTCAATTGCTACCTAACTGATCTCCCCATCCCAACCCCCCACTCCAATCTACCCTCCACACAGCTACTAAAGTGATCTTCCAATACTACAGGTCTGATTATGTCACTTCCCCTCTTTACCTCAATGAAGTAGCTCCCTATTACCTCCAGGATCAAATATAAACCCCTGGGGCATTTAAAGCCTTCCTATTTTTCCAGTCTTCTTCTATATCCCTCCTCTGTCCTCCTTCCTATTTCTCTTGCATGGTGCTCTATCTCCATGCTTGGAATGCTCTCTTTTCTCTGAATTCCTTCAAGCCTCAGGTCAGATGCTGCCTTCTGCAGGAGACTTTTCCTTGGCCTGTAACTATCAGTGCTACTAAGCCCCTCTCTAAAGTTACCTTACATTGACTTCAAAGAGAGCTTGTATATACCCCTTCAGATCATGTCTCTCCATCAGAAGGAAGGTCCTCATGGGGAAGGAATTGTTCTCTTTCTTGTTTCCCCCTACGCTTAGCATACATGAAGCTATAACTAAATTTGATGCTTGGTGGTTGACGGCTGGGCCTTAGATATTCTCCCAATTCATTCCAGGAAGCCCAGAGGCAGATCATGATGCGTGGGACCATCAGAGGTGAGCTGCTCACATAAATAAAGAGTAACAACACACAGAGGGCCAAGTGCCCACTGGCTCTCTGAGGAGGAACCTCCATCCAGCTAAGTGGGTCCTCTATGGATTTACAGAAAACAACAGAAAAATACCCCCTCAATAACACGCCTGGAGGGGTGGTCAAAGGGGTGTGTGCCTGGGATCTCTTTCAATTTCACACAAGACTTGCCTGAAGGGAACCACTGGACTGGGGGGTTAGGACAAGATTTCTGCCAGGCCTGAACTCGGTCTGACCCCCCAACAAGCTAAGGCCGGATCACCAAGCCTAAGCTGTCCCCAGCCTCTGTCCTGCCCTTCCTAGACCCAGACTCACAGCATGCTCCCCTCATCTCTCTGCCTACTGAGATCTTCCTCTTCCTCCAAGGCCCAGCTAAGTGATCACGACCCCAAGAAGGACGCCTTCCCTTGCGGACAGCACGCTCTCTCCCGCTTCAGATGTTTCTAGGGCTTTTTGTCTGGCTTTCTCCTCTGCCTCCACCAGATTCTACCAAGCAGTCTACTTCTCTGTATACACATGTGGAGGATCCTTTCAGACTGTAAGCGGCCTGAGCTCAGGGACCTGCCTTTCCTTTCCAGTTCTCAGATGAGTTTGCTAAATACACATAGAACAAAACACTGCTTTTGTGGTGAGAACAGGACTGAAAACTTTCATCTTAAAGGTGATTGAGTCCAGACTCCTTTCCACAGTCCTGGGGCCCAATCACTATGCAGGTCAGTCAGCCCCTACGAGGCTTGGTTTCTAGATTCGCAAAATAAAGACATTAGACTGACTCCAATCCCACAGAGCTTTATTAAGGGGTTACTATGAGCAAAGCCCCGAGGTGAGCCCAGGGATGCAGACAAAAACTCCCCAGGAGAAGCAGCACCACAGGATGAGATGTAGAGCCTGGAGGAACCTCAAAGGCTGTCTCCTGGCTGCCCCTCACTCTGCAGCTTCAGTCTCTGCACCTCTGCATGGGCCCTGCCCCACACACACCTGGAATGCTCAGTCCCTGTGCCCCTTCTGCAAGGGGCCTTTCCTAGACACCAAGGCTGCCAGAGCCTTCCCTGCCACTCCCCGGGTGGAAGCCCTCCTTTTACAGATGAGAACACTGAATTTACCCAGGCAGAAAGAGAGCAGCAGAGCTGGAATTTGAACACAGGTCTCAGATCAACACCAAATCCATCACTGTCGCCGCACTGCTGCTTCGCCCTCTTCTTGGATGCCGTTAGCGGTCAGTGACAGATTGATACAACTGGTTTCCTTTGTAACGCCACGTACTTTATTTCATGCATTAAAAATATCATTGTGACAAAGCAGGTTGGTGGTGCAAGGACAGGGCACACATTGGACCAGGAGTCAGGAAGCCCCGAGTTCAAATGCAGCCTGACACTTACTAGCTGTGGGATCACTTCACTGATGATGTTTGCCTTGACATCAGTTTCCTCATCTGCAAAAGGGGATAACAGCTCCTCCCTCCTAGGACTGTCATGAGGATCAAATATGATATTGCACCTGTAATGTGCTTAGCACAATGGTTGTTTTGGTGTTGAGGCAGAGAGGTGGCCCAGTACATAGAGCCTGAAGTCTGAAAGAGGCATCATCTAGTTCAAATCTGGCCTCAGACACTTACTAGCTGGGTGACCATGGTATGTGGGCATACTGTGTATATAAAGTGGTTAGCACAGTGCCGGCACATAATAGGTCCTTAATAAATGTGTATTCCCTTCCTCTCCTCTCCGGAGGGTACAAGGATGGTACAGCAGAAAAAAATGCTGGATTTGGAGTCTCAAGTCGCTGGTTTCAGATCTTCCATTTTCCACTTGTTATCTCTTCAACCTTACTTTCCTGGGACCCTAAGTTATCGGGCCTTAAGGAGCACATAAAGGTTTAGGGCAGCTTTTCCAACCAGAAGATTCAGAAGGGCAGACACCACCTGTGGTACCTACTTCAGTGACTGAAGTTTGAACAAAAAGGCCGGCTCTCTCCTTAACTTCTCATTCCTGTGTCTCTCTAATAACAGAGATAAACACAAAATTAAGAAAGAGGAGAGAAGAGATGTGGGGGTCCTCTTTGGTTTTGCTACCAAATTTCCCCCCATAAAGCTGCAAAAGGAACATTATACTGCCCTAAGGTTAAAAAAAAGTTAATTATTCTAGCAGAGCCTGGGGGTGACTCTGCCCTCCACTGCTACACCCACAACTACTCATGGTACTAGTGGGCTCTTAATAAATGACGGTGGATAGACCTGATTCACTTTCTAAAAGCCCAGCCCAAACCCCAAATTGCTAAAAAGAAAGTAAAAAATTCTTGGTGATTCTCAGAGCACTACAGTGTTAAGAGCCCTAAAGTGAGTAGAGAGACCAGGCCGGCAGCACAGTGCCTGGCACATTAAGACATCGATTAATAAATGTTGCGAGCAGATTAGCAGATGAGAATGAAGTGGTCCCTTCCAGCCCTACATAAGATGATCTTTTAAAAAAATTAATATAAAAGTATTTTGTCTCCCTCCCATCAGCCCCATTAAAAAAAAAAAGAAACAAAAACCCTTGTAACAAGCTCGCAGACTATGAAATTGTTACAAAGGTTGCTTTGTCTTTCTTTTTCAAAGTCCGGTGGTGGGCGGGAGAAAAAAAAAATACATTCTTGTTAATTGAAGGGGTGAAAGGAAATTTAAATAAAAATATGCATAGTTAAGCAAAACAAATTCTGACTGTGGCCTTGACCGTCAGTGACCTTTTATGCCCTGGAGAAAGCTAAGTCTTTACTGCCCACGAGACCCTGAGCCATAAGCATCAGGGAACGAGGGAGCCCACGAGGGGTCTGGCCCCGGAGCCCCCGCTGCTCCCACGCCGTAGCCCGCAGGGAAAAGCCGCCGCGTGAGGGGGGGGGCCCCGGGGGGAAACCACTGCGCAGGCTCAGCGGAGCGCCGTGCGGGGGCGGGGAGAAGAAGGGCTCTTCCGGCGACTTCCCCTTTAAGAAACCCTGTTTTAGAACCTCCGACCCACTTCCGCTCCTGGTTCCCATAATGCGCCGCGGCAGAGAGCGGCCTGAGCTGCGGGAAGCGGCTGAGGGGATGTCGGGGATGATGGGCTGGGGAGAGGAAGATGACCGGGGCAACGACAACGACGGGAGGATCTACGTGGGGAACCTCCCGGCCGACGTGAGGGAGAAAGACCTGGAGGACCTGTTCTACAAATACGGCCGCATCCGGGACATCGAGCTTAAGAATCGCCGGGGCCTGGCGCCCTTCGCCTTCGTGCGCTTCGAGGATCCCAGGTGAGGCCTCGGCACCCTTCCCCCCGACCCAGCCCCCCTCCACCCCCCGTCCCCTGACCTGAGCCTCTTCTTCTTCCCTCCTCCCCTCCCCCAGCCCACCCGCTCGCCTGCCTTCTCTGGACCTCCAGCGACGCCCCTCTTCGACCCCCCTCCCCGCTCCGCTAGCCTCTGTCTCCGCCCCCTCCCTGCTGCGCGCGCCGCCGCCTCCTCCTCTCGGCTTCCGCGCTCTCCCTCCTCCCATCCCTGCTGCGCGCGCGTCCTCCCCCTCCCTCCCTCCGCTGCGCGCGCCGCCTCTGGGTCTCGCGCGCTCCCCTCCCCTCTACGCGCGCGCTCTCCCCCTCCCCTTCCTTCGCCGCGCGCGCGCTCTCCCTCTTCCCCTTCTCGCTACGCGCGCGCTCTCCCCCTCCCTCCCTCTCTCCTCTGCGCGCGCCCCTGCCTCTGGCCCCCGGCCCCGCGGCCCCCCTACTCTCCCCACCCCCACCCCTCGCTTTGCCGACGGGCCGGCGGCGCCCTGAACTCGGGGACTTTGACTTCGGGGCGCCCTCGCGTCGAGGAGGGGGCGCCTCCCGAGCCCCGGAGGCTCCCCGTTGAGCCTCTTGTCTTTTGGGGGTGAGCCTAACGATCCACAGCAGAAGCGCCTTCCTCCAGGACGCCGAGGACACAAGACGGGCTCTGTGCGTGCAGCCGGACGCTTCTGTTACGTAGCTGGTTTTTTAAAAGCTTCCATTAAATTTGACAAGGTAGTCACCAAGCTGCCCGGATTGTGTCCCCTTGAGCTTTTGGCTCCTTCTGTGTGGTTTGTTTTGTGGCCGCTCCTTTCTATGATGTCACCTCCCGGGCGCTGGCCCCCGTCCGCAGAGACGCCTTCCTTGTCACGGGGCTAAAGGGTCCAGCGAGGCCAATGTGGGGGGCCGCCCTTCCTGCCGCCCTGACACCCCCACCCCCAAACACACACCCCTGCCTTCCAGGAAGTGCCCCAGGACGCCCCCCCCCTCCCGATCAGGGGGCTGAGCCTCCAGGAAAAGCCCCCGAGTAATAGTGGTCTGGGGCTAGACCCAGAGTCCAGTGTCCCTGGTGCAAGACCTTTCAGGAGAAGCTTTCCTGAACTGTTTAAGGCCTGGGGTCTACTGTGCCCCTCAGCTTAGAGTTGGAAGGGAACCCAGAGGTCATCTAAGCCACACTGCTCATTTTACAGATGAGGAAACTGAGGTCCAAAGAAGTCTCTAGCTGAAGGGAACTTCTTTGACGTCTTTGGAGTCCCTTAATCTGAAAGGAAATATTTTCAGGAGCTAAGGTGGGGGGTGCTTTTCCTGTACTCCAGTTTGACCATCCCTCAGCTCTAGGGGGTAGGAGAGTAGCATATAGGAAAAGCTCCCCAATTATCCCTGAGTGACTCCTGTAGCGTGGAGGGTCTGCTGACAGACTGACTACTCCTAGTCGGCATTCTGACCTTCCTTGGTCCCTAAGTCCCAAGGTGTGGTATGGGAGGACCTCAAAGAATGGTGGGGTCCTCCATCTTCCCAAGAAAGCACTCAGTCCAGTCTGCAGACGACTACCCCTGATAAAGTCTGGACCCCAAGATTACCTTCTCTGGACAGGTCTTGAGACCCTCCCCAAAAAGATGTCAAATAGTACAGGTTTGGTTCAGCTGTGCAGAGACCCCAAAGCAACCTTCCTTGGGATTCAAACCTCATTCCTGCAAAAAGAAGCTCCCAGCAGTGGGGATCTTTGAACTACTCCCGGACCTAAACCAACCCTCTCCTGGTGCCTCTTCCCACACAAGGAGGTATTTTCAGTAACACGGTTGTGATGGGCTACTCTTCACTTGGAACTGAGGAGGGTTACTGGTGGGTTTGGAGTTCAGTGGTGTCTTGAATCTCCTCCAAACCGGTGGCCCCCGGAGATCCTGAGGCCTTGTCTTCCCTCCCAAAGGAAAATAATTCCCAGGGCTCTTCTCCCCACCTTCCTTGTCTCTGCCTGGCAGGTCTTGTGGTAGAAGACCTCGCACCCCAGGATTCTGAAAGCCTCAGTTACCGTTTGGGTTTTGTTAGACCTGAAGCTGTCCTCTAGGGTGCCCTCTACCGGCTTATCTAGTCCATTACATCTCATTTATAAAAATAAAATAAAATAAAATAAAAGGGTGGGTAAATGAAGAACTGCTTTAATTATTAGGCCAGAAAGAATATTAAGGCTGCTTTATATTCCACAAGTTGCAGGTGCTTAATGCGGCCAGGGATGTGTGGCATTACAGTTTTAGTAGTTCTTAAGTTAGAGTCCATGAACTTGATTTTTTAGTATTCAATAATTTTATGTCAGTATAATTAATTCACTTATTTTTCCGCTGATCCATAGACTTTACTAGAAATGGTTCAGGACATAAAAAAGTTAGGAACCCCTGCATTAGGTACTGTGCTTAAGATTCCCCAAAGGAACACCCTTGAAGGAAACCAAATGACTTGAAAATAGTTTTTTACAAATTATCAGAGAAGCACACATGTTGCTAGTAGCTCCATCTTGAGTAATTGAATAGCTTCCTTGTTCGCCAGTACAATGTAAAACAGCCCAAGTTACTGATTGGGTAACTCACTATGGGTGTTGTTGTGAGTTACCCAAAGACATGACAGAACATTTGGGTCTCCAGAAGGGATCCGGATGTAGTGTGGCTTGGAAGAGGAAAGGAAACCCAATCTATCCTGTGACGCCTTTCTTCAAGGAAGCCACACATGATGATAATTGAATATTTTATTACTGACCTCAGTTCTAATGCTGTAATCCTTGCCAAAAATATGGAACTTGACAATTTCCTGTAGCTAATCTTAGTAAACTTGGAGACTCTAGTGAACTATATGTCTCAATGCCTGATCTATCCTCCACATCCCCCCCTACACCTCCATTGTTTACATTTTATGGTAGCGATCCCTTTCATTCTCTGAACTGACTCTGTGGAGATGGCATTGAGTGCCGCTTAAATGCCTGGCATTGTACTGTGTGATTGGTTTCTGACTCTATTAATGGTGGTCTGCACATGTATATTAATCAGGGGCAGCTGCCTCCAACAGGGGGTTGCTTCAAAGATGTGGATTCCTGGGAAAGTGCTCTGCTTGTGCTCCAAGGCTAATAAGCCTATAGCATCTTTTAGTTTTCATGTATTCCTTAGGTTTTTGTACTTCTATGGGGAGGAGGGATGTTTTGCATTCAGAGTTCGTTGTTTGATGATCAGATCAAGGACTTTATAACTTTGGGACTTTTTACACCTTTATTAAATCCTTTATGTTTAAGGCAATGGTTTTCAGCAGTGTTCTTGATTAAATGATTCCCTGGAGCCTACAAAAGGATTTTGAGAAACTTCAGAGAGACTTTGAGATCTTCTGTCCTCTTGAGCCGAGAGTCCTCAGTTCTTTTGTAGTTTTTCCCTCACAGTCATGACTGTAATAAGAGGATATAAAATGCAAGGTGGCTGAGTCCAGGGATTAAGGTGATAGATATGAGAGGGAGAAACCGGCAGCCAGGTTATGAAAAGCTTTCTGATCCTGCTCTTAGTTTAGTCTCTTTCCAGATGAGGTTTGTATTCTTACAGTTTTTCAAGTTTGGGTCATACATGAAGTCATCTTTTCATGTAGTCAGACCTCTTTATTCTCTACAGGGAACTCGGTATGTGGTCACTTTAAAAGTTCTGAAATGTGGATGTTTATAAGGGATCATATTTTTGGAACACCAGGAACCTCAGATACCATCGAGGCCAACTTCTTTACTTTCACCAATGAGGAAATTGAGGCCTAAGGGGAGGTTAAGTGACTAAAAGTCACACAGCTGGAAAGTGGCAGTGGTGGGATTTGAACCCTGTTTCTTTAATCCCAAGTCTAGTACTCTTTCCAATCAACCAGCACTTGGTAAGCACCTACCTGATAAGCACCTACCAAGAATTGTGCTAGGTTTTGGAGCTAAAAATACAAAAAATGAAACAATCCTTTCCACAAAGGAGCTTACGTTCTAATGGGGAAGACAGTAAGTACATGGAAAAGTATATGTAAAATAAATGTAAAGAGAATAGGGGTAGACCGTGGGCCTGTGATTTCTTTAGTAGACAAACTTCTTGGGTAAGGAGACTGCCTTTACCAGTGCAGGTTAGTATTGCATTCTCTGTAGCCAGCTGTCTTAGAGAGCTGCCCAGACCACTACCAGGTTAAGGGTCACACATCCAATATATGTCAGAGGGAGGCTTTAACCCAAGTCTTCCTGGCTTTGACACCAGCTCTTCATTAACTGTACCAAAGTAATTAAAGACGAGGTAGTTTGGGAGGAAGGACAGTAGCCATGTAGGGGGTTAGGAAAGATTTCTTGTAGAAGATGGGAGCTTGAGCTGTGTCCCACAGGAGGAGAGGGAATCTGTGAGGCAGAGATAAGGAGAGGTTATGATTTTGTGTTTGTGTGGGGACACAAGGATGATGGAGTGGCTGAGGATCTGCATCAAAGAGTATGAGAGGAGTAGTATTCAGTGAGATTGGAGTGAAGATGGGTGAAGGGCTATACAAGCTTATGAACAGTGAAGTTCATCTTGCTCTCCAGGCAACAGGGAACAGCTGGAGTTGATTGGGTAGTTGGAGAGAGATGTGGTCAAATCTGTGCTTAAGGAAAATCATTTTGGCAGTAGTGTGGAGGTTGGCCTTGAAACTTGGAGACCAAGTAGGAAGTCATTGCAGTAGTCTAGTTGAGAGATGATGGGAGTGTGAACTAAGGTAGTCAGATGGGAGTCACTGTGTAGGGAGAAACAAATATATGGCAACTGATTGGCTATGTGGGGTGAAGGTGAATGAGAAGTCAAGGATAATGCTGAGGTTAAAGACCTGGGAGGGTGAGGGTACCTTTGATAGGATTTGGGAGGAAAGATGATGGCTTCAGTTTTGAACATGTTAAGTCTGAGATACCCAGTTTGAAATGATTGGTTGGGCTAGATTTCAGTCCCACATCACTTTTAATAACTGAAACTTGGTACTGAATCTGTCTATCTGAGTTGTAGGGGGGAGGAGAGGTCCCTGTAAGACTAAACTTGGGGAATAGCTACAGCTATAGGGCGTGATATAGATGATAAGCTAGAAAGTAGATGAGGAATAGACACAGATAGGAGAACCAAGAGACATTAGTGCAGTAGAAGCTAAGGGAAGAGAGAGCCTCTAGGGAGAACAGTGTAAAGTCCAACAGATGGTCAGAAAGGATGGGCTTGAAGAAGACTATCAGATTTGGCAGTTAAGAAAACAAGATAACTTCGGAGAGCCTAGTTTTAGTCGAGTGATGGAATTAGAAGCCAAATTGCAAAAGTTTTGGGAGTGATGAAGCGGAGGCAGTGAGTGAAGACACTTTTTTTCCCCACTGAGTTTGATTGAAAAGGGAGGAGAAGGAGAAAGCAATAATTGGAGGGATTGGTTGGTTCTGGTGATAGTTTTTAAGCATGGAGGAGACTTGGGTATGTTTAAAGGCAGAAGGGAAGGAACCAATAGCTAGGAAAGCAGATGAAGATTTGAGAGAGGGGACAATTTAAGGTTTGGTTTGCTGGCGAATACAAATGGATGGGATTGACGGGTTGGCCTCAATAAGGAAAAGGGCTGTCAGTCAGAAGAATGGGGGAATGTGTGACCCTGGGCAAGTTACTTAACCCCAAATGCCTAAAAAAAAAATGGGGGAAAAGAGGAGGGAGTGGGGGGGGGGTAGATGTTGAGGAATTCTGAGATGAAGAGGGAACAAACATCTCATGGCCTCAGTAAAGTAAGAAGGGCAGCTTCCTGGCCCTTAAAGCCAAAAAGCATTAGTTAATCAAGACTGGACATCTTCCATCTTCATACCTGGACACCCCCATCGACTTACATCTCACGGAAAGGACAGAATCTGCTGCCTGAACAGCAATAACTACTAGGTCTTATTTGCAGGGATGCAGAAGATGCTATTTATGGAAGGAATGGTTATGATTATGGCCAGTGCCGGCTTCGTGTGGAGTTACCCAGGAATCCTGGGGGCGGAGGCCCCCGTGGGAGGACTGGACCGCCATCAAGAAGATCTGAATTTCGAGTTCTTGTCTCAGGTATGTCATTCTGAACACTTACGACTGTCTAGGCCGGTGGTACACTGAACAGTAACTTTGGCTAGTGCTGATCCAGTGCAAGGCCCTGCCAGGGATGCATGTCTCATGAAGATGAAGTGGTGCTGTTGTTACAGGAGAAGGGTTAATACCCCTTTAGAACATAACATGCAGCAGCCTCCCATAAAAGTTTCCTATCATTTGAAAAGATTCTTGGATGATCTTCTCTTCTCTGGAATTCATACTAGTAGAAAGTTAGCTAGAAAGCAATCCAAACAGCCATATCTGACCAGACAACTAGCTTTCTAGTCTTGGATCCTGGAAGAAGGTGGTTATGCTGGGATTCTTAAATTGGAGTCCTGGACTGCTTTTCCAAGTTTTAAAAGGGATCTACCAAACACAGCATGTGCTCTGGTAACTCATGACAGATAACCAATTCTAATGCCAAAGGTCTGTGCATGGATCAGTGCTCGGAAGAATGGCAGTAAGAACCCTGGATCTTCTTTATGTCTCCAGGTATGACTTTCCTGTGACCCTGGACCTGACTAAAATGCATACAAGAGCCTGGTTCCTTTCAAGAGAGGAATTAAACTGAATCACATGAAACCCCAGGGTGGGAAAGTGGTTCCAATCTTGTTTTAGCATTCAGGTCTTACCTGGTCCTTAAGAGAATGAGTGTGTCAGTCATCCAAACCACCCTAAAGCAGTTCACCACCATCCACGCCTAAGTTTTTCGTTGGCTGGAGTCTAAATTCCTGTCCTAATGCTTTGGGGAACAGTACTGGTGATCTTCTCTGTGAGGGGCAGGTGAGATTGTTAACAAGTAAATCTCAAATCAGGGGAATCAAAAGCCACGGGACTGTTTTTGAAAGACCTGGAAACAACAGAGCAAATTAACTGAATTTTCGGAACTACACAGGACTGGCTTCTTGCTCTAACTACAGGCAAAAATAAGTCCTCTCTCTCTCTCTTGAAGACTGGCATAGGACTAGCTCTCTGGAATGGCATACAGTACATGCCTTGTGGTCAGTGTCTCTGGAACCCCTTTATGACTTATTAAAGTTTTAAGACTTTGGGACTGTCAGGCTGGAGTGGTGACAGAGCCTGTCACTGGACTAGATGTGGGGGAGGAACCCTGGCCCATCTGGAATGTTGAGACCTTTCACACGCTATCTTGTTTTGTGTTCTCCATGCCCAGGCCTTCCTCCCTCAGGCAGCTGGCAGGATTTGAAGGATCACATGCGAGAAGCTGGGGGTGTATGTTATGCAGATGTGCAGAAAGATGGCATGGGGGTAGTTGAGTTTCTCCGCAAGGAAGATATGGAATACGCCCTGCGTAGACTGGACGACTCCAAATTCCGTTCTCATGAGGTGGGTTCCCACCTTTTGTGGAAGATCTTCTATAATCCCATGGCACTTGGGCCTGCAGCTGTCCTCTCTGCACAAAAAGGCTGGTACATAGCTTGTTAAATAATCTCAGAGTAACAGTAGGGAATCTCCTTAAGTGGACAAGCCAACATCCTGCGTGCCCAAATCTTACAGAGTCCTAGCAGTGGTCCTCTATAGTGCCTGGAGAGAATCAGCAAGTAGCTTAGCATGAGGGAGCTACCTCTTCCCCACCTACCAGCCCTTCCTTTAAGGGAGCTTTTGTGGATTAGGCTTCTCATGACTGAATGTGAGCTCTCACAAATTCAGGAATCTCATTGTAGTTGCTTTCTTGAAGTGGCTTAAGGATTTTGCATCCCGTGCCTCTTACAAACACAAGCTATCTTGACATGGCTACTGTCCCTTTATGTGCCTAGTAATTTGTGAGTGAAATTCCTTTCTGTAAGGAATGACTAAGACCACAAGCTGTTGGCTTCCTGTTACCTTGGGGACCTAGAGAGAGACCTCTTGGTCCTTCTTTCCCATCCTGATTCCCTTCAACATACAACAGCGCCTAAGTCCTGTGTTCCCAGTTACCGCTTTTTTTTTTTCTTTCTTAAAAGTGGTTTACCCCTCACCTGGCAACTGATAAAACTATTTGGGCTAGGATGGTCTGACTGTGCCATTGCCCAAGCCACCCTAAACGTCGAGAGCAAGGTGGCCACAGCTGTAAGTGAATTTGGAATCATGAATCTTCTGCTTAAGTTTAGGATGACAACTGGAGCTTCTTCCACTTAACGGCCCTTTTTATCCACTCAGAATAGGCTGGATATGAGTCCTTGTTCTCCTTCCCCTACCCCTTCTTCATCCCTCACTTTTTTTCCTTCCTTTTGTTTGAATTTCAGGGTGAAACTTCCTATATCAGAGTTTATCCAGAAAGAAGCACCAGCTATGGCTACTCCCGGTCCCGGTCAGGGTCAAGGGGCCGAGATTCTCCATACCAAAGCAGGGGCTCCCCATACTACACCTCTCCCTTTGCACCATATTGAAACTGCTTATGGGTTTTTTTTGTTGTTGTTCTTTTTTTGTTTTTATTATTTTTTTTTTTAGTGTGAACTGAGTTACTCTCTGCTCGGAATCTACATTCCAAATTGACTTAGTGTCTTAGGAATTTTTTTTTAATAACTTTTTTTTAAAGGAAAAACTACATACAACACAACTACATATGTACAATTTCTACCAGGGCCATATTGGCAGTGAAATGTTTTTAACTGCTGAAATCATGGTTTTGGTTTAGAAGCAAGTTGCATATTTCCCCTTCTTCCCCCAATTACGGAGAAAAATCAATGCTGTGTCATGGTGGGTTACTCTGCACAGACACTATATATAGGAATCAGCCCATTCTGTTTAGAAATATATTTCTAAAGTTTAATAATTTACAAGTTGTTGTTATTTTAATTATGTAAGTTCATTTTTCTGTATCAGGCAGATGTAGAATTAAAAGAATCAGAGAAGTTACATGGACAAAGCTTCTCAGTGGCCAGAAGGGGCTTGAATGGAGCACTATTTTGGAAAAAAGGAAAAGGAAGTTGAGTTGATGATGGTTTGGCCTTAGATGAAACCCTGTGCCACCCTTTTCAGTCACGGTTTTTCTTTGAATGGAGGCTTTGGCAGTAGAGGAAATCATTAATAAAAGAAGAGACTTTATAAAGAGACTTAGGAATAGTGAGGGAGGAAATAGGAATAATCCAGATTGCATCTAGGCCTGTGATCAGGAAGAAATAAACTCTTGGGCAAAAGTGTTAGAAACTTGCTCTATTTAATCGTGTGCAAAAACTGAACCAAAGGTGATTTTACAGTTAACCACAGGACACGTCCAGTGTGTGACCCAGGTATTAAGTGAATACTCTGTTCATTTCCTGGGAAGCTTTTCTCCAAGTCCAATGTCCCGACCTTCCTTGACCTCCGTTGGAAGGAACGGGAGGTTACTTGAGAGTTCTCCATCCTCAACCATCTTCAGGAGAGAATGTGGAGAAGACAAAAAGGGCCAGAGCCCAGCTATGTGGAGGAAGTTCATGGCAGCTTTTTCAGCTTTGTCTTTCCGAAGTGTCCTCCACTGTTTCCTGTTGTGAGCACCATTCCTCAGAGCATCATTTAACTCTCTGTGACTGGATCTTGTTCACTTTGTTTTGGCAGAGTGATGTTACCTGTTTAAAACCAAAAAAGGAGAGAATTATAGCTAAGCCTGCTAACTTTTTTTCCTTGCTTCAGAAGCTAGTAGGTGTCTCATGAAAACAAATGTAGCCATCACTCTGCTTTCTCAGCTAGAAATACCTGAATTTCTATCAGATTTTCTATACATTTGTTAGGAAATTTGTATGTGAAGGAAAGGAGTGCGCATCGCCATGGAGTTAACTAACATCCTAAATCAGTGGGGGGTTGCCACCTGCATTGGCAGAAGAAGCATCCACACCAAAGTAATTCCAACTTGAAATGCTGAAGATATGCACCTCTGAGCAGTGAGGGGGAATGAAAACTACTTACTTGGCTTAGTTTGGATTGGTGGGGATTTTTTGTGAGGGAGGTTATCAATCAATGAATCCACATAGCCATTTGAACACATCCCAAGAAGAGAAATTTGAAACCATATTCTCCAGAAAAAAACAACTTTGATATGGCTCAAGGGTATCCTTGAGTTTCTGCATTCCAGCAACTACTTGGGTAAGATTATTTAATTTACAGAACCAGAACCACTGCTGAGGTTCTACACCAATTGGGATTCCCTGATTCATCAGGAATCCCTTTTAGGAACTGGGTAATGTGGATAAGGGGAAGTGCTGGGTCTTCCTGGACTGGCAACTAAGCTGGGCACAAAGTGGCACACGGGTTCCAACCCATTTATGTCAGAGAAGGGTTAGTATACAACACAGTATGAAGCTCAGAAAGTCCAAAAAATACAACTACAATGCAAAAATGGCCTGCAGAAGTTGTGGGGTTCAAATGGGCTGAAACTCATACGCTAAAAAGATCTACAGTGCGTTTAGCAGCCGTCAACAAGGAAGAGTGGCCAGCACACCTTGCATTCAGACAGCCTTCATACTCTGAGGCTCACTTTCAATCCCCCCTCCCCCAAACCTTCCCTCTCAGCCGCGACGTGACTGCCCCGCCCCCCAGCGTAGCCTCTACCTGGGGGGGCCACAAAGTACTCCTCGACAGTCCACTGAGAGTTCTGTAGCAGGGCTTCCACACAGCTGTCTTCTACCACGTCGTCTGCCCTCAGGTACAGGCACCTACAACAGACCAAAAGGGCGCTCCTCAGGCAGGGGGAGAAGACCCCTACCTGTGGGTAGGAAAAAGGACACGGATCCTGTGGCTTGTGGCCCTGGATTCGTATTCCGCCTCTGAAGCTTGCTACCTACTAGGATGGCCTCCGTGAGGTGGGGACTAAAATGGCCTTGGAGGTGCCTCCCGGCTCTGGGTCTAGTCTAATGAGGCCTCGGGGCTGTTCTGAAAGCTGACACCCAAACTGGCAGGAGATGAAAAGCGCAACGCTACTACTCAGTTACATGAACCGACCCGCCTTGAGCCATGTTTTCCGCACTTTTTGGGGGGTGAGGTGGGGTGGGGAAGGAAGGATTAAATTGGCAAAGGGTGGGGGTAGAACTTTCAAGTCCTAAATTCGGCCCCCTGCAGACTCGGGAGGCACGCCCACCCCGCTTCTGGGGAAGATCATTTCGGGGCGGTGACTCCCACGCCCCTTCCCCACGGGTCCCCACAGGGCGCACGCGTCTACCGGTCCTCCAGCACCGACTCCATGGGCACCACGCCGTCCGTGTCCACGGCGCGGAGCTGCCCCGCAAACTCGATGGCCGCCTGCAGCCGCGCCACGCCCTCGCGGTTTCGGAAATCCACCAGGGCCAGGCGCTCCAGGTGCTCGATCAGCTCGGCGCTCACGCGGCCGCCTGGGCTGGGGCCTTCGGCCTTCCCCGAGTCACTCCCTGCAAACCGGGAGCTCCCGACTCGTGCTGCCCGCGCCTCCGCTACCGCACCTGTCGTGCCGGGGCTCAGCCCTGCCCGCAGTGCCGCCCGGAGCGTCCGACGCCACATCTCCGCTCCTCCGCCCAGCCCCGGGTCACAGGCTTCGCTACGAACGAGAAACGGGCGCTCCGGCTTGACGTAAACGGCGCGCCGCGAGTGACGTAGATAACGCGCCGTCGCCCCCTTCCGCTGCGGGGCTGGTCGCCATGAATAGCGTGGGAGAGGCCTGCACCGACATGAAGCGCGAGTACGACCAGTGCTTCAACCGCTGGTTCGCCGAGAAGTTCCTCAAGGGCGACGGCTCCGACGACCCCTGCACCGACCTCTTCAAGCGCTACCAGCAGTGCGTGCAGGTGAGCGCCCCCAGCCCCGCTCCGCGCTTCCCGGGGGGGAGGGGCAGCCCCAAGAGGCGTGGAGGCGGCGTGGGCGCGGCGTGGGCCCTGCGTGACCTTGGGCCACGAGGCCCCAGTTTCCCCCTCCAGGGATACGAGGGGGCGCCTGAGCAAAGCTCCCCAAAGCCCCTCTGGGCGCTCAGCCATGACCCCGTGGCCGGCGTCCTTTGAACGGGCTTCGTCCTGGGCTCCTGAGCGGGCCGAGGCCCTGACCCTGGGCCCTGCCGGCCGGGCTCGTCCGGACTCGTCCGCCCTCCTCCCGGCGGCGCGGGGCACTCGCTGCTCCCCCTCCCCCCTCCGCTTTGTTCCGTATTCACCTTCCTGCACTCCGGAGATCGTGTGCACACATTGGCCTCGCTTTCCTTAATTTTCACACAACTGTTAGATTTCTCCTAACCACCAGGATCCTATTTTATATTGTGGATACAGTGCTGTTAAACACCTGCTGTGTGCTTCTAGAGGACTGTTAGGCATTGGAAGGGATAGGCAAGTTTACTATAGTACGAAAAATTGTACCAAGTATATTCAAAAGTGTAGAAATGAGGTCCTGTGTGAGTTCTGAACGAGGAGGCAGTTACCAGCCTAAGGATTCCTAGATGCTCACTGAATCAAGGTCATCTTATTTCATCTTCCCAGCGCTCTGTACACAGAAACTGCTTAATTAATCACTTGCCACATTGAACTTTAATTTTGGGTAAGGAATTGGAGTTATAGAAGAATCACAGAATATCAGAGATGAAAGGAACAGAGATAATCTAGTCCAACTTGTTCCTTTTACTGTGAGAAAAGGGAGGTTTGAGTGAGGGGCAGGAGAGCTAAAAATTGGTCACATTGGGACTCGAATCCAATTAGTATGATTCCTAGTCCAGTCACATTAGTGTTTTAGGTTCTTAGGATACTCCTTTCTCTAACATCTTACCTTATGTATGTAGCTTTGACAGCAGGAACCTGTGTAGATGTTCATTAAAATGTAATTTCTCAATCCACAGAAAGCGATCAAGGAGAAGGAGATTCCTATTGAAGGGCTGGAGTTCATGGGCCATAGCAAAGACAAGTCTGAAAGCTCTTCTTGACCTTGACAGCAGCCTCCAAGATGACCTTTTCAACTACAAACATTAAGACATCAAAAAGACTGTGGTCTCTGAAGATGACCCCTAATTTTACAAGCTTTTTAGAGGAGGGTTCCCTTAAATTTCTTCACAAAAGGGTCACATAGACCTTTATTATTTGCTTTCAGGGGATGGATGACAATTAGCTGGGGTGGCATCTTGCAGTACCAAACATGGCATAAGAGAACAATTCTTCAGATGATCAGAATGTTACTCAGTCTGCTGCGCTTATAATGTGGTTTATTGATACTGATACCTGAGTCAGGATGGTTAAATTGTCCTGAATACTGAATCCAAGCTGCTAAATATTAGATAAAGTTTTTGTTTTTTCCTGGAAGCACACCTCTGATGCTCTGGGAGTGACTCCAGTATTTAAATGGCAACGATTTTGTTTGGATAAAGACTGAATAATGGTTAAAGGTGTGGAGCTAGCCAAAAAGGGATTGGCCTTTTAAGAGACAACTGCCTGCTTTTAAGAGGATTCAGATGGAATAAAAAATAACCAGGAAGTTCTTGAAGGCTTCTAAGAAACCGGTTTGAGCTCCCAAAGTTTGGTAGCAAGCACACAAATTAAGGTGATTCTTAGTTTCCACTAAATCTTGTCAGTTTGGCTATGAAGGTACAAAAATATGCAGAAATGTGATTTTCCTGATTCTCAGGCTATTTCATGAATGGTAATAGTGGCTATAAAAAATTGTTCTGATGGAAAAGGCACCTCTCACAGCTGAGCTATAGACACTGGATAGTCTTATGTTATCCAGAGTGGGTTGGTGGAAGAGGGTTGTTTACAAGGCCTCTTGAATACCATGGCACTTGCACAAGGTTAATTGGGATGAAGGGAATAGTTCGCTTTATTTGCCTTATTTGTCCATCATGTTCTGTAACATTTGAAATCAGAGATGGAATAAATAACTGCACTTTGGTTTATGGTTTACTTTCTTATCAACTTCACAGCACTTTTTATGGGCTGCTCATCTCAACATGTCTGTGACATAGGGTTGTCTTGAAACAGATTACCTCCAAACCTGATGGGATTAGAATTCAGACCTCATTATTTCCGTGACTCATCAGTAGGAATGATGAGTCTCTCTTTGGGGAGAAAAAATTCAAATTTTGGCTACTCAAGAAAGAGGCACACCATCTGAAGAGTCAGTGAGCACAGACTGTACCATAACACAGCTCACCAATTAAACATTATCATTTGAATTTGTTAAGATTCTTACCAGTAAACCTTATGTGTATCTTGGGAATTGAGTACTTTTGATAGTCATTTAGACAGACCATATTGTAATTAAATTTATTTTTATGTTTAATAAGACTAAAGATTTAAAAGGGGATCACTACATTTTCAGGTTCCTAGAAATGAGTAGTGCTTCAAATGCTCAAATATCACCCTTGGTGAACTGAATTGAGTAGAGATACTAAGTTTCAGGGAGATGATTACAACAGCATTTCTCTATTTGTTTAAGGTTTGCAAAGCAACTGAAGTTTTATCTCATTTGGTCCTCATATGAGGCAGGTGGTACCGTAAGTGCCTCGTTCAGGTTCACGAAGCCAGTGTCTGGTGAAATCTGAACTCGGGTCTTCTGACTCCAGTTCCAGCACTGTATCTATTAATGTAGTCAGTTAAGCTAGCTAACATGGCCTTTTCATCATACCAATTTAAATAAGAAAACAGATGTGGATTTATATCACTTTGGGGAAAGTCATAAGACGGTGAGGGGGGACTTAACTGGTAGGTGCTTTTTACTATTACTGTTATCTCCATTTATAGGTGAGGAAACTGAGACATACAAATTTATGCGACTTGCCCAGGGTCACACTTCTAGTAAATGTCTAAAGCCAGATCTGAACAAAGGTTTTGCTGACTCCAGGCCCAGCTGTATTCACTATGCAGGTATGAGTTGCCTCATAAAGCAATTGTTTATAGAAGATTGGATTTGTGCCAGGCTATGTCCCTCTACCAAACCCATCTTAACAACTTCTCAAAAATCATTAGTTTGTCCCTAATGACTAACCCCAAGTGCAGTTTTTCAGGAAAAATTGGGCAGGGAGGTAGGGTAGAGAAAATAATCCCTTGAATTTAAACTGAAAAATTACTTTCCTGTATTAGAGTAGATTAGGATATGCTCTTTATATAACTTATATGGAGATGAGATAGTCAGGTGGGCATTCACAGACAGCTTTGCAGACACTGATCTCTTCATGCTTTGCGCTCCTTAGCAATTTCATTACCCCACTATGTCAGCCTCTAAGCTGTATTAGTCAGGGGCATCCATGACATCCCTGTCATGAGCAAAGCTGCAAGCATAGTAGCTCTTTTGAGGCTAATGCCCTACTGATGATAAACTATATCCTGAAACTTGGTAAGGCCACCTAATGCTCAGAAAACACTCTGTGGGTATTATTTTGATGAACATGAGTATTTAAGACAGAATTCAACAATTCACCATAGTCTAGGGTAAGAATTATTTATTTAAGCCATCCCAATCACAAGCAAAATGATAAAAGGTCAGTATATTTGTCACTACTGTGATACAAGTGAACTTAAGGTCCCATATAATTTTCTGTTCCACATAGAAAGAAAAGGATGGTCCAACTGCTGCTGTGGTCCCCCAGTGCTTGATTAGTATGGTCCAAGTTTTCTTTATTCTTCCTCATACCCGGTTGGGAGAGGATTGACGTGATGGTTATGAAATAGAGTATGGTTTCCATCTCCCCATGGGAAGGGCTGTGAAGAGAAATGCCAACAACCATGAACAATTCCAGTTAACCCTTCTAACCTGTGAGCTGGCAAGGGCACTTCCACAAGACTGACTGCCTCTCTTTCAGTCTCTCATCAGCTCTTGATATAGTCAAACCTTTCCCTTAATTCACAGCCTCTCTACAGGGAGGTGACTTCTCACTCTCCTTCACAAAGAATGAACACAACTACTGGCATATCCAGATCAAATCAAGGCAATTAAGTCTGTATAATCATTCACATTTATATGGTAAAGTCTACAAAGTGCTTCATGCTTACAAATTAGGATAGTAGGTGCTATTTTCCCATTTTACAAAAAAGGAGACTGATAAGACACAGGTAAAGTGACCTGCCCAGGATCACACAGCTAGTTAAGTGTCTGAGGCCAGATTTAAACCCAGGCTTTCCTGACTCTAAGCCCAGCTTGCTCTTGGCCACCTGAATGTAGATCAGAAGTGTAAAACATGGAACCAAGTTAAAATGTAATTGGGAATTTTTGAGCAAAAATACAATAAACCATAGATAATGTTAATATGTGGTTTTCTAAGCCAACATGCAGATGGCAGGGATCCTTCTGTATGGTTTAATGGCCCCTGTTTCTGAGTTTGATACCCCTGCTGTTAAGATGAGATTTAGGGGAGGGGGGAAAAGCCTATTACTACAACCAAAAATAGCAGTATTCAGTCAATCAATTCTTTCAGGTATAAGTCAACTATAGAAATCAGCTCTTCTTAGTTACTGCCATTAGAGGCAGGTAAGACACCTTTTAAGTTATGTCAACAATTTTGATGCCCTGAAAGTTTAATCAAAACAAGCCAGTATCCCAACACCATTTTCATCTAGAGTTTGCATTGTTAAGAGCACTCACCAGATAGTAAATAAACTAGGCAAAGTCTGAGCCAAGAGAGGTGCCAGAAGAGGGCTATCACTCATCAACTGCTCATTTATACAGTATTTTCCCATTTAAAAAGCATGTTTTTCACACCCAGAGAAAAACATAGTGCAAACAGTAGTTTCCCTTTTACCAATGAGGAAATAGAGGCAAGTAAGTTTATAACACTTTCCTAAGGTGACATCAAAGGTCACAAAAGTGTGGTACAGTAGAGCAGACTAGGTATGGTTTAGGGTCAAAGTCCATCTCTGTCTTTAATTACCTCTGCAAATTTGAACCATCTAATGCAACTCAACTCCATGAGCATTTATTGTGTTCTGTAATTGGGGACATTAAGAGACAGTTTATCCTCAAACTAAGTGGCAAAGTGACACTGGATAGAGAGCCACACCTGGAGTCAGAAAGACTCATATTCCTAAGTTCAAACCTGCCCTCAGACACTTACTAGCGGTGTAACCCTGAGCAAGTCACTTAACCCTGTTTGCCTCCGTTCCTCACTTGTGAAATGAGCTGGAGAAGGAAATGGCAAATCACTCCTGGATCTTTGCCAAGAAAACCCCAAACAGGGTCATGGAGAACTGGGCATGACTGAACAAAACAACTATGGTCAAGAAGCTTATACAGTCTTCTAAAGCATGTACACAACGAAGTATCATGCAAAGTTTAGGCAGCCTGGTAGAATGGACAGAGTCACAGTTTTCTGGTAGGACAGAAATACCTGGATTAAATACTACTTTATACTTAATGATTGTGTGACCCATGGCAAGTGATTACCTTCTCAAAGCCTCTATAAAATGGAGATAATAGCAGCAACCTCACAGGAAAGTTATGAGGATCAAATGAGATAATGGATGTAAACCATTCTGCAAACGTTAACTACACATGTCCTAGGAAGGCCTAAGAGCTGTTACATTCAGTGTATCGGAAGCAACAGAAAGAGACACAGTTTTACCACCAAATTTCACGTCATGACAGCAGAGGGAAGGGTGGTGGAAATCCAGGAAGTCATCAAAGCACCTTCTCTCCTTTACTGGCAGTGGACAGAGCATTGGGCCTGGCATCAGGAAGACCTGAGTTCAAATCCAACCTCAGACACTTAGCTGTGTGATCCTGAACCTCTGTTTACCTCAAGTTTCCTCGCCTATAAAATAAGGGTTACTAATAGCACCTACTTCTCAGGGTTGTTATGAGGATCAAATGAAATGATAATTGTAAAACATTTAGCACAGTGCTTGGCACTATATAAATTTTAGCTCTTATTTTTATTATTACTTAATAATTTTTAATTAATACAACATTACTATTATTACTAAACAGGGTTGCTGGTATCAGATGAATTCAACATTAATTACACTTAAGGGTTTTATGCCTACAATATGCAAAACCTTGTGCCAGCTACAAAAAAACGCTTGAAGAAAACGAACCACTGTTCTCAAGGAGAGTACAACACACTGAACATAAATGAACCGATGTATGTGAAATCATGCAAACCACTTTACAAACTTAAAGCAGACTGTAAGCTGCTTGAGATCACTGTTTCCTGAGCATTGCCTATTCTGCGCCCAGGGCCTTCTACCTACCTACATTGAATATCTGTTGACCTTCACCATAATGCTGTGAGTTGTTCAGACTCTGTAAATCTGAGGTGATTGGTGAGTTAATTACACAGTGAGAAAGGTCTTTGCTGGGGGGTGGGGGGAGAGTCTCCAGGAGTATTTGTTTTATGGTCCCTGGATTTATTGATCTGTGCATCCTATGAGGTTTCAGCTGTTCCACTGAGATTTAAAAACAAAATCCTTGGTGAGTGAATGGCAGCCTCCCAGTCCTAAACCATAGTCTCATAGATTTAGAGCTTGAAGAGGCTTCAAGTTTAGCACGACCGTATCAAAGTAACATGCAGCTAACTAGCCTAGACTCGGTACATTTCAGGCTCTGAGCTACGCGTGCGGCATACAGAAAGAGCCTAGAGACAATCCCTGCCCTCGAGGGGCTTCCAATCCCACGCTAAAACAACATGCACGCACAAACAAGCCGCAAGCGGCATTAACTGGAGAGGATTAACACAGAAGGCGCTCCGGCCTTCTGCACAAAGTGGCTTTTGGCCGATACTGAGGCCGGGACAGGTTGAGGTCACACAGCCCCGCCCTAACGCGAAGTGCCCCGAAAAGCGCGACAGCACCAAAGGGGACCGGGCCGTCGGCGCTCCCGCTCCTCTCGGGGCCTCACCTTGGTTCGGATGCGGAGATGGGGGTAGGGGACGAATTCGGGCCGTTCGTGATGCTCCCGC